GTTGATGTCTGGGTGCTTGCGGAGGTATTCCACGATCTCCGTAGCTGAAGGATCTTTGTTGCCCGCGGGGGTTGGCGGGTGCAACTGTAACTTGAGGGCCTTCTGCTGCTCCTGGGCGGCGCGAACCTCCATGATGCGAGACTGTATTTGGGCAGCGCTGGCAAAGTGCTTGTCGTACAGGTTGTCGATCTGATCGCCGTTGGTTTCCATGTCCAGGATCTCTTGTGCGAGCGCCTCCTCTGCTTTGGAACGCAGGGCACTATCGGCCTGGTACTTCTCCGCTTTGGATGAGGCGAGGAAAGCCTCCTCCTCGAGGCGCTTCGGGTTTCTCTACTGCTGCCAAGTGTCGTTGATCGGCCCCTGTCGAGCTTGCTTAGCGTCGAGTGCTGCTCCCAGAAGGCGACCTCCACCTTAGCCATTGCGATCTTGGACAGTGGTCGAGTTGGGGCCCTGGCCTCCTTCCGCGGGGGGCCCTTTGAAGGATCCTCGTGTGCAGCCGTCTTTGTGTTTGCCCCGGCTTTCGCCGGAAGCTCAGAAAACTGGTAAGGGCCTTTGCATTGGGGCTGCGACGGTGCCGCCGTGGGGCCCAGAGACTTCCCTTGGGAGCGGAATGGCGAAGGTGTCGTCCCGGCGTCGTTGGTTTTGCTCTTGCCTCGGGGGGGAGAACCTGGCCGCCGCGTTCGGGGCGAGTTTGCCCCCAGCCGTGGGTGGCTGCCAGATGCTCGAGGTGGCAGTCGACGCTGTTCGGGCAGACGATGGCACCAGTGGCTTGGGGCCGTAAGTGCCGCGCTGCTCCCCGCGGGTGCACGTGGCCGAGTGGCTCCCTGAGCCCACGGGCCCTCGCTGGAGGACGCCATCACAGTGCGGGTCTGGGCGATCACAAGATGGGAATCACAAGATGGCGATCAAGGGATGGCCCCAGGCGATCACAGGATGGCCCCAGGCGATCACAAGATGGCCCTCGAGGAATATCTACCGCTTAGATCTTCATCTTGGGGCCTGCCAGGGTCGCAGGACGGCCCCAGGAGGGTCCCTGGAGGGCTGCTATCGTGCCGCGGGATTTCCTGAGGGACGAACTGCAACCGAAACGGTCGCCTCCTGGGTCCCTGGATGGGGGCCTAGGACTGTGGACGTACACAGTTGTGACCCCGTCCGAGTCCAGGGCAGCCTCCTTCCCGAGGTCTAACGGTCACGCGGCCTAGACGAGGTTCCAATGTTGTCACCTTAAATATGAGTGCACGCTGCATGAGTTGTACGTTCGATAATTGTGAGTGATGTTAGGACGTTACCTTTTGGCTGGCTCCTGTGTTCTGGCCGTTGGAACCGGCATCCAAATAGTTTCAGCTAGTGCTTGGGAGAACATGTCCGCCAGTGCTTAGGAGAACAATTCCGCCAGTACTTAGGACAACATTGGAAAAACAGACAGGAGCGAATCTACGGCTCACGTCGGTTGCCCAAGTCATTGCCACTTCCGTTTCTGTCAATGATCCGGTGGGCGAATGCGGCTGACCAGGAGCCCCGCACGAGGGAGGGCGCGGCATACCGCCAGAAGCCCAGCAGGGCATACTGGGACCCGCCAGGAGTAGGAGGAGGAGGAAGAGGAGGAGGAGGAGGAGGAGGATGAGGAGGAGTAGGAGGAGGAGGAGGAGGAGAAGAGGGAGGATATTGAAGACGGGGATGAGGTGTTAGATTGTAGCGTTCCAGCTGGGTGAGCAGGATCGGCTAGTGTGTCTGTAGCAGCAGTGAAGCAGCAGAGTCATGCCACGCTGGAGTCGAAACGGTGCGCTGGATTTTGGCTCAAGTTTCATTCGCCTCCTCGTGAAAAGAAGTTCCGGCCAGATTTTTACAGTAGCGGAGCCCATAGTTCGCTCCACGGGTTCCAGAGCAGAGGTGGCGGCCGCGGCAGCTGCAGCTGCCCCGCGGCCGCGGCAGCTCTGCACCAATGATTCAATGATCCGGGCTACGATGTGTCGTTATCGGAAGTACGGGAAGCCTGGTGCAACCTAGGCGCGGACCAGCTCGCGGAAATATGCAACGAATGTTGCGAGAACGGGGCTTCAGGTACGCAAACGCGGCATACAAGGCCAACCACGAAGACATGAAGCTGATGTTCGAGCGTAGTGTCGCACAGGGCGCTAGGACTCTTGGCGACGATGAAGCATTCACAAAGCAGCAGATGAGCTATCATATGAATGCTTTCCAGATCTCAGTCATCAGCCGCAACATGTACTGCGAAGAGCAGTTCAATAACTTGAAAATATGTGAGGACATAATTCCGACATTCAACGAACACTTCGGAGCATGTCACCGAATTCGCTGATGCAATGAGTTTGCAAGAGTCGCCAGGGCAGGCGGAGGTTGAATCCACCTCGTTAGCGAATTCAGAATTCTTCAGCACTTCAAACCTGTCTCGGGTGACGGGACCACGTACAGATAACGGAGCGAAGAGATGCTGAATGCGCTCGCCCAGATGAAGCACATTACTCATGGTTATCGGACATGCTTCAAGACTTTGAACGAACAATTCGTATCCACGGGTGGGGCGCCAATCGATGGTGAAATGGACGATCTGAGACAGATCACGAACGGGATGTTCACACTGGCGCCGGCGTGATGCATGTCGTCCTCCACGCGGGCGTGATCCCGGACAACACCCTAGGAACGTATTTGTTCTAATTGTTATCTCTGCCTAATTGGTTTCTCTATCATGGTTTTCTTTGGGTGATATTTGGTTCCTATTCTGTTTTCTTGCGCTCTCAACACGGGGTGGCAAACCCATTCCCTCTTCGGGGGGTGCCCTTCTTCCTGGTTTTTTCCTGGCTCCTTCCTTGCGGGGCGGGAACGTGCAACTCCCCGGAGTTCCACGGGAGGCCGTTGGGATTCCCTTGGGATCCTCCCTCCCTCTTTGGGCTCCGGGGGCAGGAGGTTGTTGCGCCTGATCACCGCGCGACCTCTTCGTGGGCTCTGTATTTGTCTCGCTTTCTGGCTTCCTGATCCTTCGTGGCCGCCACTCCTCTAGGCGTCTCGTAGGGGTTACCCGGATAATCCAGGACAGTACTCTAGAAGCTCACTCCTCTCCTGGGAGTCCTTTCCCAGGGGGGTGTTAGCCGTAGCGTGGTCGGGGTCTGGGCTCCCCCCCGTGCCCCTCCTCCTCCTCCTCCTTGTCCCCCCCCCCTCCTCCTCCTCCCTCCTCTTTCCTGCCCTCCCCGTGGCACGGGGTTCCCAGGGCTGCCTCGTAACGGTTCACTCCCCCCTCCTGGGCGGGGGCGTTCTTTTATCGGGTTTGTTTTTTTCGTGGCTTCAGTGGGCTCTGAGTTGCGTTTACCTGCACGCGTCTATCCATGAGACCTTGGGGGCGATTGTGCCCACGGATGTTATTCCAGGTCTGTTCGGTCATTGTGTCCACAAGGCCGAAGCCTACGTGCTGAGGCTGGGCGGCCTACGTGCCACGGCTTACATGCCGAAGTTCTGACCGTTCAGGCCGGCCGCCCTTCTTGGGGGTCCATGTTCTTTGATTCTTACACCCGCTAGAATTATTACTGCCCAGAGGGTGAGGGTTTTGGCCCCTGTGCACCGATCAGTACTCCCTTCATCCCTCGTCTGCATATGGGTTTGTTTTCTTTGGCCGCCCTGCCTCATCCTCTTTGTGGTCTCGATAGGCGCTCGGTCTTTATCTTTTGCTTCCACCCTGTGGCTTCTTGTGCCGG